AGGGGGAGGGCGGGGAGGACTGCCGAGGAGGAAAGGGGGGGTGCAGGAGGACGAGGAAAAGAGGGGGCGAGGGGTACCAGAAGCTGTCCTGCCAGCCCTGTGGGCTGAGATGGTCTGGCGCGCGCGCTTCCCGGTCCAACCCCTGTCTCAGGTGTCAGAGTCCTTGATCGCCCAAGATGGAACCAAAATGGCTTCAGAAAGTCGAACATGACCTCCAAGTTGGCTTACGACAGTACAAGACCACTCAAGACGGCTTCCGCCATGACCCATGATCCAACGAACCTCGAAACCGCTCCAACACCACCAGAAGTGGCCACAGAACCTCCCGAGGCCCCCGAGAGGCCCCAAATCCTTCCCGAACCTAGAAGCCATGGCTGTGTCCTTCTGCTCGCATCCGCTGGGCTTCCGAGGCGTCAAGAGGGCCTCGAGATGACACAGCAAAACCCAAAGAGACGCCCAACGGGGTCCCGAGAGACGGCACGAGGAACCCCGAGAAGGCCCCAGATAAGCCCCAAATCCTTCCCGAACCTAGAAGCCATGGCTGTGTCCTTCTGACCTGATCGCATCCGCTGGGCTTCCGAGGCCTCAAAAGGGCCCCGAGATGGCCCCAAAGAGACGCCCAACGGGGTCCCGAGAGACGGCCCGAGGAGCGCCCTGGAACGCCCCAAGAGGCGCCTCAGGAGGCAACCTGTCGGGCTCCAGCGAGGCGACCCTACTAGCCCTCCTCCCCCCTCGCTGCTTAACAGAGGCTTTCCAGACCCCACTGCGCGTCCTCAAATGATCAATCTCGGGATACTCCCTGGGAAGCGCTTGGCCAGAGATGGTTACAGCATGGTTTACTCTCAATCAAGATGTCTCAAATTCGGGCACCTCGCGTTTCACATCGGTCGCACCTCCTACCCAACATCCGAGCTATCGGGACAACCAACGGCCGGAGAGAGGAAGGAGGAGGAGGAGGAGGAGGAGGAGGAGGAGCGCACAGGCAACCCGACGAGACGAGGGCAGG